AACCCACCAGATTCCGGATATAGAAAATCCTGCCAGGAGATGGATGGGATCAGGCCTCCGAAGGGACCCAGGGTTCCAGGACAGTGGTGAAAATTAAAAATTCAAGTGAAGGCTCCTCTTTTTCTAGAGTTTTCCATCTGGATTTGACTTGAAAAGTTAGCCATAGGAACTTAGTCTTCCTGCTGACAGAGAGAGGACCAAGGCAAATCCTGAGGAGCAGAGCTGAGAGCAGCAGGCACCATGCCACCACGCAGGACACAGTGAGGGTCCCCGGACAGGGTCTGGCAGCTGTATTTAGGGCAGCTGTGATGTCAGCGGAAAGGAGGGCTTGAGTTGGCAGTGTGGTACAATGGCTCCATTGTCCCCCTCCCCTTCTGGCCTGAACACACACTGAAACCACACACCATCCCCACACCACGTGACACAGACACGAGGTCACAAGGTGGGGCCTGCCACCTCCACAGCCCACAGATGGGGACACACAGGTACACACACGCAATAACACAGCCACAAGCAGATTTCCAGGCATGTAGGCGAGAGGCACGGTCACTCTCTCAGAGCTATGCTGCCTGAGACAGTAGCCACCGACCCACAAAGTTCTTAAATTAATGACAGTTAATAAAAGTAAGAATTGCATCCCTCAGTCCCTAGTCACATTTCAAATGCTTGGTAGCCCAGGGGTTCACGGCTACTCTATGGCACTGCCCAGGTAGAGGACCCGTCCATCATTGCCTTCTGCTTCCCTGCCCCAGGCGGTTTTCACTGCTCTTTCTCACACTTAGCACACCTGCACACAGGTAAGGGGCGCCTCTCTCACATTCTTTTTTTTTTTGGTGGTGCTGGGGATTGAACCCAGGGCCTTGTGCATGTAAGGCTAGCACTCTACCCACTGAGCTACATCCCCAGCCTCTCTCACATTCTTACTATTCCTTCTCCCTAATATCTACAGACTGTGCACAGGGACTGGCCTCTGGCCTGGGGAGAACAGGGTGGGGATGTGATGACTTGGACGTGGAAGAAGCCTCTGTGAGCTCAGAGGGCCAATCTCAGCCTGGGGTGGACAGGGGAATGAGCAGGGGCAATGGGACATTTGAACCTGGTATGGAGCAAACAGAGAGAAGGAACATCATGTCAGGCAAAGAAAAGCCATAAAGCGGGTAGTGGGTGCGTATGTGGGAATCGTGATCACCCTTTCTGGCTTGAGTGACAGATGTGGGCTGGGGAGGGGACAGTGAGCCTGAACAGGTGGGTACTGGCCAGGTAGAGGCTTGGATGGTGAGCTCAGGAAGCTTTCAGATCCCCATGGGGCCAGATGGGGTTGGGGCCTGAACAGCAAGAGTCGTGGGCACCAAAGGTTCAGTTAGGTGGGGTTGCCTGGGCAGCGTGTCAAGCAGACCCACATCACCAAGCAAACGCATCTATAAACTGATCAACAGGACCCATGCACCTCTGGATAGTTTGCATATGAGTAAGGCTTCTTTTATAGGCCGTATTTTTAATTTCGTTTTTATACCGTTCTACTATAGTAGAGGTGCTAATGATGAATTATTAAAGGCCATCATTAATGGCCATGAATACTCAATGACAGACACAGTATTGGCATTGCCAGTGGGTGGCCTCTGAGGACTTGTGCCTCTCTCCATAGACCTGAGGGAGGTGCACAGGTCAGCCTTCTTTTTCCTTTGAGGTTTGGGCTCTGGAATGTTGGACGGGGGTGGGGGCAGCTGTCGTCTCCCTGTCTCCCCACCTCTGGACGCCCTGTTTGCTCCAGGTTTCCGACTCTCTGGATTCTCTGCTCCCCACTGATCACACACCACTGTCCCTATTCCCTGAGATGCGGGAGCTGGCCGGCCACCTTCCCTTCAGGTTGTAAGGCAAGGGCAGCCAGGGGCAGGCAGAGGTGAGGGAAAAAGAGAAGGGAGGAGAAGGAGGAAGAGAAAGCAAGAATTTGGGGAAAGGAGAGAGAGAGAGAGAGAGAGAGAGAGAGAGAGAGAGAGAGAGAGAGAGAATATGAAGAAAAGGGTCAGAGGCAGGCCCGGGCACCTCCACAGGCTGCCAGCTCCCTACCATCTTGCGCTCTGGGCACACAGAAAACCAAGAGGGCCCTACACTGTCCTGGGGGTAACACCTGCAGGAGTCTTAACTGACACTCTCTAAGACCCCGAGGAGACTCTTGAGATACATAGTCCCCCTAGAGCAAGCAAGTGCCTTCCTTTCCCGCTGTCCCTCCCAGGTGTCCTAGCAGGCTCGGCAGACCCCTTCCCGTGCTGGTGCTGGCTCCTTGGCATGAAGAGGGATGAAGAGGGGGTAGAGGCCAGATGTCCCTTTTGTGTTTGTCCAGGGAAAGGGTGTGCAGAGGGGCTCCCAGGTCGCCCTCAGCAGTCCCATGTCTCTCCCCCTCCCAGAACTCACAAGCAGCACCTCTTTCAGCCCAGCCCTGCAGCCCGCCCACAGCGTAGAAATCTGATGGGTGTTCATGGGAGGGTGGGCATGAGGCCGGGCGACCCAGGATCTGAAGGGGCGTGTGCTTGTGTGTGTGTGTGTGTGTGTGTGCACATGTGCACTTGTGAGTGTGTCGTTGACCTATGTAGGCTACCTGTTCAGCATTGCAGGGGAGAAGAGGATTTGGAAACCCGCAAAGAGGATTGCAAGAGAGAGAGAAATACAAGAGGAAAGAAAAAGGCTTACGGCAGGAGAAAGGCAAGAGAGGAGGGTGAAGGGCAGGATGTAGCAGGAGTGGGCGGAGAGTAAGGGCAGGGGATGGAAGATGGGCCCACCCACTCCATCCCCTCCCCCAGGCCACCCCCTCCCCCAGCTCCCAGGGAGGAAATTAGGAGACCACTGATGAGGTGTTTGGGTCATTTCCACATGCTTTATTCCAGCAATCAAAATAATTAAAAACATCTCAAATTATTATACACATACAAAATAGGTACAGAGTCTCGTTTCCTCCCTTGCTTCCTCCCACCCTAGAGGGAAAAACTGTTTTGTGCTTTGGGAAGTTGTGCTCTGAAACCCGGATGCAAGACAGACCAGTGGAGAGGTGGGGAGGATGGGGCACGGCTGCAGAAGGGGGAGGGTTTCAGAGGAGGGACAGGTCAGAGAGCGGCAGACCCAGAAGCCAGTGGAGAGAAGGCGAGAGGGAGCAGGCTGGAGCCCAGGCGCTCTCTCCCTCCATGTTAAATAGCACCGTCAGAAAAAAAAAATTCACATGAGTCCCCATCCACAAAAAAAGAAAAGGAAAAGAAACAGAATGAAAATAAAGAATTAAAAAAGACTGAGCCAAAGGAATATTTGCTGGTCTAGGAGGCATCTCAACTTCAATAGCACCAGAGATTCCTTCCCCACCCCACCCCATCACATAGATGTAGCACCTTTGATATAAAATGGGGAGCTGCTGCCGCCCTGCCCCCATCCCTGTCCCCACACAGTTGCCCCGGTGACACAAAGACAAGAACGAGGTAGTCTTTCAGCAACACAGTTACAAGGAACAGAACAATCTCTCCCACCCAGCCCTGCGCGCACGCGTGGGGAGATTGGCACGATGTCTCTGTTCTGTTGTGGCCCTGCCTGACTCTCCTCCAAACCCAGTGAGGGGCTAGGGGCTCCCCGCTGCATGGCCCCCTTGGAAACAAAGTGGGGCGTGCTGCAGGGGACAGGGGATGCCAGAGGGTAAGGTTCCTTTGGCAGTCTGAGAACCCCAGGTCCCCCCAGGGTTTGGGGGTGCTGGGTGGGAGAAATGGGCTGGGGGCTCAGGGCCACTTAGATGTTTCCGCATTGCCTTTGGTTGCTGGGTAGACAATGCATTGTTTTCTGTGTCTTTGGGGGAGACCTGGATATGGGGAGCAGTGGAAGAGAGGCCCCAAGATGGGGTGGAGAAAGGAGTGGAAAGGGCAGCATTGGGGTATCATAAGCCCAATGGGCAGAAAAGGACTTACCCCCACATGGGTCTTCAAGCAAGTGGACCAAGCTTCCTTTTTTAAAAACTTATTTATTTATTCTTTTTTTTTTTTTTTCCCTTTGGTAAAGCTGAATGCACTTTTGGTTTTTGGTCATGTTCAGTTGGTCAAAGATAAAAACTAAGTTTGAGAGATGAATGCAAAGGAAAAAAAAATATTTTCCAAAGTCCATGTGAAATTGTCTCCCATTTTTTGAATTTTGGAGGGATTTCAGTTTGGGTTGTTTGTCTGTTTCCAGAATGGGGAGAAAGTGGGCTGGGTGGGAGGGAGCCAGGTTGGGGTGGAGGGAGTTTACACGAAGCAGGCAGGGCCAATGTCCATGCCGAATTCCTGGTCTGGGGCGCCAATGTCCAAGGGGGCCACATCGATGATGGGCAGGCGGGAGGTCTTGGTGGTTTTGTATTCGATGATTGTCTTGCCCCAGGTTCCGGTGTGACTCTGGAGTGAGGGGAGGTAAAGGGAGAGGGCCATTACACATGGGGATGATGAACGGAGGGGAGCCACCCTGCCCCCAAAGTCAAGGCCCAGAGGGGCGGGGCCCTGCCAGGGCCTGGGGTCTTACCGTGCAGCCGTCATAGATGGTGCTGTAGGTGAAGCGGCTGTTGCCCTCGCCCCGGAGTTCGATCTCGTTGGAGCCCTGGAGGAGCAGGGACTTCTTGAGGTTGCCAGTCTGCTGGTCCATGTAGGCCACGCTGTTCTTGCAGTGGTAGGTGATGTTCTGGGAGGCCTCCGTGGACATCAGGCGCAGGAAGGTCAGTTGGATAGCCACATCAGCAGGGTCGGAGCCCTCGCTGCCATACTCGAACTGTGGGGGAAGAGAGAGAGTGAAGAGTGAGTGACCCCATGGGGGTCTCTAGTCCCTGGCCTCCGTGCTCCTGAGTCTTTGCCCAGAGTATTTCCAACTGACTCCCTCCATCCCCCTACCCTTGAGGACTAGGGATTGAACCCAAGAGTGATACCCCCAGCTCTTTTTTAAAAAATTTAATTCTGACTCAGGGTCTTGCTAATTCCCCAGGCTGCTCTCAAACTTAGAATCCTCCTGCCTCAGCCTCCTGAGTCTCTGGGATTATAGGTGTGCAACATGGCACCCAGTCCAACTAACTTTTCTGTCAAGAAGGGTGTCACTTGCCCCCGGGGAAGACCTTGTCCACTCCAGGATTTCTCCCTCCTGACTCGGCTAGCCCATCTCCTGAAAGTGGTTCTAGGGTCCAGCTCACGCACCTGGAATCCACCGGTCATGCTCTCGCCGAACCAGACGTGCCTCTTTTCCTTGTGGTTGTTGCTGACGTACCAGTTCTTCTG